ATGAAGGTGAAATCGAAGCAGAAGGAGAAGGAGGTGAAGATGAAGGTGAAATCGAAGCAGAAGGAGGAGAAGGTGAACATGAAGGTGAAATTGAAGCAGAAGGAGAAGGTGAACATAAAAGTGAAATCAAAGTGGAAGGAGAAAGAGAAGGTGAACCTGAAGGTGAAGTCAAAGAAGGAAAAGACGCTGATGAATATGATAGTGAAGGTGAACTAGCAGAAAGAAAAGTAACTGATGAAGGTGGAGGTGAACTCCAAGCAGAAGATGGTGAAATGAAAGCTGATGAGGGTGAAAATGAAGAGCAGGAACTCAATGCTGAAAGTCAAGGTGAAGCCAAAAGTGATGAGAAAGGTAGAGATGGTGAAGGGGGAGGTGAAGGAGGTGGAAGTGAAGATGAAGAGGAGGAAGAAGAGGAGGAAGAAGAGGAGGAAGAAGAGGAGGAAGAAGAGGAGGAAGATGAGGCAGAGGATGAGGAGGAGGAAGAAGAGGAGGCAAGTGAGGAGCCTTTGTCCCTGGAGTGGCCCGAGACCAGGCAGAAGCAGGCCATTTACCTGTTCCTCCTGCCCATTGTGTTCCCACTGTGGCTGACCGTGCCCGACGTCCGGAGGCTGGTGAGTGTGCCCAGCTGTACCCCAGGGAGTCTGTGGAGTCTCTAGGCACTCTAACACAAGAGGTGAGAGGACGGGGCAAACTGGCTTGGCAGGGCTCGAACCAGAGAGTATCTGGTGCTGGTATGCACCTTGCAGCTCCAGAAGGGACCACGTGCCTAGGGGGACATACCGGTAGGCTTGGGAGGCCCTAAAATGTGCTTATTTCCATCACTATAAGCGTGTGAACCAGTACCTCAACTCCTATTGTCAGTTTCTTGATTTTAATAGGGGAATAATGCCAAGCTCCCCCCTGCCCCTCCATAGGTCACAGGGATATTCTGAAAACATAGGGGGAAAGTATTATTTCTATAGGGAAAGCTCTGACTAACATGCTCTACCCAAAGGCCATCCATACTCTACCTCGAGGTCCAGAGGTGCATAGAGCAGCAGGAGGTTGTAGATACCACACCAAACACCTAGACCAGTCTGGTTCTAGGGCAAGCAAATAGTTCTCTTCAGTTTGGTGACTGCTGAATGCCCTGCTGGCCGGACTCCCTGTGGGCCGCCAACTCCTTCCTTCCCCAGCCACCTCCGGGTCCTCACTGGAGATCCAGATCTCAGCTGACCCATCTCCAGATCCTCTCCATCACTCCCCTAGCAGGTCCTGTCACTGATTCTGGGGCTCCCTCAGAACGGTCAAAAACCTTTAGCCTCTGCAACTTATTTCTCTTCCTTTTCAAACTTGCAAACAGGAGTCTAAGAAGTTTTTTGTTCTCACCTTCCTGGGATCCATCATGTGGATAGCCATGTTCTCATACCTCATGGTATGGTGGGCTCACCAGGTGAGTGAACTAAATCCTGCATCAGTGGGTCCCAAGGACACTTTTTTTCCTTCAGGGTGAATGTCCAGTACCCAGGCAATGGTGAAGCTCAAGTGAATTTGTAGTTTCTACATTGTTTGTAAAGGCTCAAAAGTTGACTTCATTTCAGTGAGTGTAGTATTTTCAACTGTGGGTCTTGTCTTACAGTCATGCTGCAGCCTGACATAGAAGGCCCGTCACAGTCTGACCCAGCTGACCATTGCTGACTAGCCTTATTCCGAGCTTTCTCTGTCACGCATGCCCCGCTCCCCTCCACCTGGTGACGGTGTGCACACTCGTGAGAGCAAGCTCAGTTTTGCCTTCTCTTGGGCATTTAGTCAGTCTTCCTCTGAGTGCCCATGGCTTTTCTGTTCTACCTGGGATTGCTGGTTACAAGCTTTTCTCTTTCACTAGGCTGGGAGTAGGGTCAGTGTTGTGGTGCTCAAACTTCTATCTCCGGCCTCTAACTTAGTTCCTGGCACATAGCAGGTGTCCGTGGTTCTGGAACTGGAAACATGACATGAACAAATCTTTGGAGGGGCAGTTCTTTTGGGAAGGTGGAGGTGTTGTAGTTGGAATGACAGTGAGAGTTGGTATTAAAGATAGACTTGTAGTCCAATTTAGACAAGAGCTGCGTCATTCCCCAAAGCCTGGAGTAGGGGCCCTGCTCTTTCTCTGTGTGGCTCCTCTCTCCCAGGCTAAAGTAGTGTGCTGAGCTCTGTGGAAAGGGGTTGGGTTTGCACAAAATAGCATGTGGTTGGTGTTTGAAGAGCCTCAGATTTTCCCCTTGCTGTTGCCATGGTTTCTTATCACTGTAACTTTTTACCAGGTTGGTGAAACAGTAGGGATTTCTGAAGAGATAATGGGTTTGACGATCCTAGCGGCAGGCACGTCCATTCCTGACCTCATCACCAGTGTGATTGTTGCTCGGAAAGGCCTGGGAGACATGGCTGTGTCAAGCTCTGTGGGCAGTAATATATTTGATATCACCATGGGGTGAGTGGCAAAGTTGCTTTCCAAGGCATATCAAGTATGACTGGAAAACACTGTGTTGGCTCTGTTCGCTGGTTTTCTGCTTCATTATTTATACATGGACTAAAAGGGCATTTATATTATTAGTGTCTACAAGGCAGCAAAGTGTCCTCCCTTCATTCATCACAGCCAGATGGGATAATAGGGCAAAACTGCTGCCTGAAATGTAACTGAGTAGAATTTATAGATGAATTGAAAAACAAAGTCCATCAAATTCATTACCAAATACAGTCAAATGCTCTGCTCACTGACCTCTAAGGTGGTGGAAGGAGCAGTGACTCAGTCGCACTTCCTGATATTTCTGCTCCTTTGCATTTGGCCTCCTGCCAACTCTGAGGCTCTAAAAGCATTTTGTCTAAACAAGCAAATGCAGCATCCTCCTGTACCCCTTCTCTTACCCCCTCCTCCCAACTTGTCAGAGCAGAACCTCTGGGCTATTTTCATTTCCGCAGGCATATCCCAGATTTGGGTAGTGGCTTTGGTTTCTTTAATTTGAATTTGTGTATGTGTGTGTGTATGGGGGGGGGGTGGAGCACAGGAGAGCCCTGATCATTAAAGAATTTAAAGACATGTTAGCCTGAGATAGGACTTACCATAAAAATTGTGAGATTAGAGAGTCAAACATCAATCCATCTGGGTTCCTCATAGGCACATCATGAATTATGGAGAAAAAAACCCCACTTGGATCCAGAAAATTTCAGTTTTAATCTAGGGTCTTCTAGTTATTAGCTGTGAGTCCTTGGGCACGTAATTTCAATTTCCCTGAACTTAAGTTTCCTCATCTGTGAAATGGGGCTAATATTTTCTGTTCTATTTCATAGGCTTTTTGTGTGTGTGTGTGGAAAAATAGGGATTAGACACTCATACAAATTGTAAAATAGTGTTTACGTATGTGGGATTATTATATGTATGTAGGATTATTATATTATAAATTAAGAATATTCACATTGTTTCTTCAATCTTGCAGCCTGCCTGTCCCTTGGTTGCTCTTCTCTTTCATCAATGGATTACAGCCTGTTCCAGTCAGCAGCAATGGCTTGTTTTGTGCAATTGTTTTGCTTTTTCTCATGCTCTTGTTTGTGATCTCTTCAATTGCATCGTGCAAATGGAGAATGAACAAGATCCTGGGCTTCACAATGTTCCTCCTTTACTTTGTATTCCTGATAATCAGCGTGATGTTAGAAGATCGAATCATTTCCTGTCCTGTATCTGTCTGAGTCAGAGTCACTGTTGCTCACAATGGACATGGATCAGAAAACCATGCCAGAAGCTACTGCACTTGTTGTTACATTAATGAAAGAATGAACATGGTCCAGGAGAGTGAGTGGCCAACAACCTCTAACGGGAATGTCATCTGGGACTGAACATTATCTTTGGAAACACCAGCAGCTCGTTGTGGATTAAGAATCTCACCTCTGGAGGGATAGAGTTCCTACCCCTGACTGATGTTGGCAGCTATCATGTGGAGGCCAGTAGAAGGACCTCTGGAGCCAGAGGGTTTTCTGAGAGATAACTTGGGGGTGAGGGCAGGTGCAGTCACCCATGCTCACAGTCCCTGATCATTCCTGAAGGGCTGCTGATCCAAAGATGCAGATGTGGTCTGCACGGCACCCCTGGCCCCTGGCCCAGGCATACGCTGCAATTTGCTGTCCCCTCTTTTTCTGTTTAAAACATGAGGTTTTTTTTGTTTGTTTGTTTGTTTTGTTTTATCAGGTTTGTAAACATTACAGGTCCAGTTATTGGTGGGTTTACGGAACTAAGACTATAGGAAAAAAAAAAGTATAACAGGAATCAATTATCATTACACATCATAGTCCAGTAAAATGTGTACCAGTATTTTATAGCTTAAAAGGACTACCTTAGCTCTTATAGCTGCATTTCTGAAAACTGAAATTAAAATAAGTAGCCCAAGAAATTAAAATTTATACATCGCCCTTGAATTGGAAGTAGGGGAGATATTAGGGAAGGAAAACTACTCTAAGGGCTATTTAAACATATGTACTTACTAGAAAATCCAAGTTAGTATTGTCTCTGCCAAGTGGTCACCTTGAGGGATTAGACACTCATACAAAGCTCTCCTGTCTTTGCTCTTCCAGCATATTCTCGCCTAACAGTGACAGCCGCTACTAGTGAGTAAGAAAAGGAGTAATTTTAAAAAGAGTCCAAAATCAGCAGAGCCAAGTCTGGTTTATAAAGTAAGAGATCCAGTGGGGTAATATTATTTTTGTGTGTCAATCTAGAGATAGGATTATAAAGCAAGACGACTGATTTCCTGTGCGGTTTACAAGTGGATCTCCAGGCAGTTACAGCGGAGAAATTCCAAAAATGCTTAACACGATGACAACATGGTGAGATAGAGAATATTACTGCTTTCAATAGTTAGTGTAAAGGACTTTTGTGTTTTTAAAAATTGTGTGGCTATTTAAACATCACATGTGGAATCTGAAGTGCTTGTATATTAAACACCACTGCTTGCTGCTTTTACTAGCATTGAGTTAAGGGACACATTCGAAATGAAACAGTGCTATGTCCCTGGTTTCAGAGCAGAAGGAGCTCAGGTGATTAGATAATGATGGTAAATACAGCTTTAATTATGAGAGGATTCACTGAAGACTAGAAGATAGCAGGACAGATGCGATGTAAAAAAAAATTTTTTTTTTTGGTGTTGAGGGGCTATATTCAAAATACTTCAGTCCATAATCCATCTCTTAAGATGGGCTGATTAATTAATGGCCTCCCTGTCCCAGGATTCACATTCTTTGGAAATGACTTCTATTAAATTTCAATAAATTGTGAGTCCCAGTGGTATTTTATTTTGCAAACATGGATGAGTTCATCTATATCTAGGTCACTTGGTCAGAATGCTCGAGAAGACGACTACGGAAACATAGTCATTCCCTATTCTTAGTTACCCTCACTGCTGCTGCTGCATTGCCCGCTCTCCATGTGGCATGACCCAAGAACAGGAGGAGAGAATGAGACAGAAGGGCAATCCCAATGCCAAACTGCGCATCTGCAGCCAATTCCAGCTAGCCTCAGGGATGCCACCTCATAGCCTGGGATCCGATGCTTTCTCCCAGAATGACTGATGAGGAGTACTGGGCAGTGAAACATTTTGTTATGAGAAAGTGCTGGACAGACATTTCATGATTAAAGTCAACTCTAATGATCTAACATCCCATTCCCGATCAGTTCGCTGGATGTCTGGCATTTTGCTTTGCTTAGAGAGGAAGGTCTGATCACATCACACTACGACAGAAAGGATCAAGTGAAATGAAAGCTGGGTCTTGATGGATGAATAAGAAGTCACTGGGGTGGGAGGAGAAAGGAGACTTCAGGGAGATGGACACCTTATGTAATTTTTAAAAGATCCATTTGTTACGCTTGGAAATGAAATTTTTTGTTATAAGTCTATAATTTATTAAAATTATGCTGTTATAGGGTGAAGGATCATCTTAAAATGTCAAGGTAATGGTGAGATGGTCCTCTCATTTGGTAGGCAAAGTGACCTATCTAGTCACATGGGACAAATCCCAGGTCACTCGTTCAGCCTTAGGATGCATGAACTGTTCCACTGGGGCATCTCAGTTGGAGGACAGCGGCTGCCCAGATGATGGTTTCATCCCTCTGGAGGTTGCATTTCCTTGATGACCCTGGTGACAGATTTGGGCCCAATTTCTAAAAATGTGAACCTTTCCCTGATTTAATGGGTTAAAGTTATATACAGTACTACTAGAAAAAAAAAAAAAGATTCCTTCCAAACTTTTGAAAAATGGTGTTCTGTTTAAATGTTTACATGGTAAAATGGTTGCTTCCGTCAATCGATCTAAAAATGTTTTTATCAAATTTATAGGCTTGGACTTTGATGACATTGTTTATATCTTAATTATCCTTTATTTAAAGATTGAGTACCAAAGGGGGCAGGAACCGGATTTAGTATTTAGGGCACAGCCTGGTAGATATATTTGAAGAACTGGCTGGCCTTCCTTGCCAAAGAATACCCTTGGGGTCGGATTCCTTTTTTGTAGGAGGGTCCCTCCCCGCCCCCACCCCCAGGTGCCACTTGCAATGTGTTTTGGGACTGGTGGCCATGGAAGGTGCAGCGAGGGCTCACGATCAGAGGGGTCACTAGAGCCGAGCAGTACCCTGGCCTAAGGCTGCCTTCACAGTTAAGGCACACTTTGGGTCTTCAGGCCCTGTTCACTGTGATGAGCAGGCAAAACCTGAAGAATTTCATTTACAGAAAATTCTGTCAGTTGCTCCAGTGGTTTCATCACAGGACAATGTCTGAAAAAAATCTATACAGACAAAAGGAGGGAGCCATGCAAATGACAGCAACCGGGGAAAGGCCACGGAGACTTCATCAATAGAGTCTGTCACCATCTCAGAGAATAAGCACAGGGACCAGACTTTTTGTGTAAGAGACAAATTCCTGTAGTCATTTGTGCACAGCTAATTTTTGTAAACAAAAATAATTCAGCCAGCAAGTGTACTTGCTTTGAGGCCAGAGGAAGAGGCCAGTATAAAGGGATAAGAAGAGAGTAAGTCTGAGAATATTAAGGTAAACTGACTGGTGTTCTGGTGTGTAGAAGTGAAGGCAATTCTGAAAGAAAACAGTCTGGTATCCAAACGGGAAGGGCAGAGCAGACTAAATATCCAGGCTAATTCTGGATATTTCTGGATTTTAGATTCCATAAACTTCAGATTCTGAAGGCTTATTGAAAAAGCCAAGTTCCTCAATATGGGAAATTCTATCTGGCTGTACTTTGAGAGTTATTATTTTTCTACTTTTGAAAAAATATTTTGAATATTTTATATATATATATGTATATATATATAATATTAACAGAATACTTCAGGGGGTCATATTCCAGATAAATATGACACAATCTGCATCATCCCCAATATTTTAGAGCATACTGCTCTTAAAGAAGCAGCCTGCCCTTTCCCTTGCTGCTCGGAAATAAAGTGCCTAATAGCAGCTTTCAAGTTCTAGTGGGAGAAAAAAAAATAAAACTGGGCCATCTCACATTACCATACGAATGGGTCTCTTCTAACCGTATACTTACAGAAATAAAACATCATAGCCCTCTCTGTACACCAGGCTAACACTTGCTAGTTGCACTAAAGTATCATAGTAATTAGCAGCATGAAGTAAAATAAGTATTTATCACCTAAAATGCTGAACCAACATCTTCTGCGGCCATTTCTCTATATACAAAAATGTAAAAACATATTAAAAAAACTTAAAACAAAATAAGCTGGTAGTTTTAGAGTTTTAAAGCATGCCCTCCCTCCCCCCATCCTCCAAAAAAATCAGGGGGAAAAAAAGACAAAAATCAGAATATGAACAGGCTGCATAATTCCTTATCTGGCAGTAGGAGGAAAAAGTTGAATATCAAAATAAGACAAAATACAAATGTATGACATCCAAAACACCATGGTAGGAAGTAGTAAACAAGTTATACCAGGACACAGCTTGGTTTATTTTCCACTATTAAACGTATAAACAAAACTAAGAGTAAGAAAACAAGAGACAGATAATGTAGCAAAAATGTATTTCTCTCCAACATGATTGGCCACGATTCTTCAAAATGTATCCTCAACAGAGAGAAAATCAAAGAAAAGTTTAGAGTTATTTTAAAGGATGATCTAGATTTTAAGTTTCTTTTGAGCAGTGTTTACCGCTTTCTATTCATGTTCTGGGTTTTAACGACTAAATTTGTACAAATAATAGTCCCTGGGGATTAAAAGGAAGGGGGGCGGGAAGAAAAACCCAACCAAAAGCAGAAACAAAACTTTGTGTGTGGGGTGGGGGGGAGGAGATAAAAATTATACTCACTTTTCCATCTGAGTTTGAACCAGAAAGGATGGGCTTTACCTCACTTTTTTTGGTCTGCTATTTGAAATCCATCAGCTATAATTCTTACATATAGTGTGTGTTAAAGAAAAGTTAAACAACTTCCACAAACAGTAAAAGCTGTTCCTCTAAGGGAAAGAAAAACATGCACCAAAAACCAGAATAGAACCCCAGAACCCTATTTGGAGGGAGGTTTGTTGCCAATGCCCATAGCCTCCCCTATCAAATGCTTCTCTCATTTGACAATTTTCAAGTGATTTAGGGAACAGAAGACTCCGTTAGAATGTGAAACCTGGATATGAACAGTAAAGGAGAAGATTGGAGTTGTATTTACAAAGGAAAGGCATATATATATATATATATATATATATATATATATATATATATGTGCATAGCACCAGATTTTTCAAGTAAGCAAGTTCAGCGTCAAACTAATCCGAACCAAAATTTCACATCTGTAAACTCTCCCCCTTACTTCCCCAGTGGAAAGCTGTGGAATGTGTCAGCTTGATGCTATTCACTAATGGTGTGAACTCAAAAGGTAGTTTTTCTGCAGCTAAACTGATTCGAAGTCTCAGATATCCCCAGTACAAGTGTGCTGCACTCTACTGGCTTTACAGACCAAATCTGGAACCATCCATTTTTTCCTTCTTTGTAAGTGTCTAGAGAATTCCTTCATTCGTGACAATGTGTGCAACCATGCACACACACATACTGATAATCTATAAATAATTTTAATAGCCAAAGGATACTTTTTATCAGGAATTACCCAAAGAAAGTGATTTTTGAAATAATGGGACTAAAAATATTTTTTTAGAGTCTCTTTAATACCCTTGGTGCTTAAACATCCAATTTATTGTCTGATTTCTGGATATTTCTGGATTTTAGATTCCATAAACTTCAGATTCTGAAGGCTTATTGAAAAAGCCAAGTTCCTCAATATGGGAAATTCTATCTGGCTGTACTTTGAGAGTTATTATTTTTCTACTTTTGAAAAAATATTTTGAATATTTTATATATATATATAATATTAACAGAATACTTCAGGGGGTCATATTCCAGATAAATATGACACAATCTGCATCATCCCCAATATTTTAGATATTAAAATAAGGGTAAAATTTGGAGTAAGTTGTCTGACATATTTCCCAGTCTAAGTGTTCATGTAGCATATTAAAATTTAAGTTGATACTTGGTTTTGTAAGCTATCCCTGTGTACTGTATGCATCTGTTAGTGATAGAGAAGATTTTCAAATCACGGTATGTTGAACCTGATTTTGTAGAAGCAGACTTGGAACCTCTCCGGCTCTCCTTCCACAAGGCTCAGTGAGTCAGTCTGGGCAGCGCACACCTTTGCTTTCATTCACTCACTGCGGTCAGACTTAATGGTACTAACATGCAATCCTAGCATAACACGGACACTAGCACTGATGTTTCTGAATCATTCCCCCAGGTAATAAAAATATATATATAGATAGATATACATATAGAGATCTGCAGCTGTACTAATTACTTCAAATAGCAGCAGACAAGGAAAATAAGCACTTAATCACTTGCTTCATAAGTTTAAGTTCATTTTGTTTGCTATATTAAGTTTAAAAATTAAAAAAATATCAACTTACTATAAACAATTTAAAATATGTATAATACAACTTCATGGTCAAAACATTTGAATAGTCTATGAAAACAGGAAATACTTTGATCTTCCATTTGTTTAAGTTCCATACATGATTTTTCAATGCGTCTCTTCCAAGAGAAACCATGAAACGGTTGTCTTATTTTGAGAAGTAATTTTGTTTAGGGATTTCCTCGTCACAAAAATACTTAATTACTTGTTACAGGAGAAGTAAAGAAAAAAAAAGGAAATGGGAAACAAAATGGCTTTCTCCTCACTTGTCACTTTTCTCTTTTGAAAACATTCTGTACATAAGCTATCTGGACTTTCGGAACCCATTTACAAATGCATTTCCAAAAACTGAAGAAAAAAAGTTTAGAGTCTTCAAGTGTTATTTTATACATGGACTATACAATACATATTGAAAGTATACACACACGTGCATATCTTAAAGATAAGGTTCTCCAAAGGTTTTTCGACATTCCATCACCCCTGTACTTGGTGGTCTATCACAGTTGTGTGTACTCTTGACTTGACTTGGTGTGAGGCGATCATATGCCATCTTGTATTCTTTATCAAATGCATCTGCAAAAATTCACAAGGAAATAAGGGCATTCAGCAATTTATACTCGATATTAACAACAATCAGATTTTTGTAATATTACAGAACTAGAAAATTAGAGGCCAAGAAGGAATCTCTAGGTCACTTCTGCCCACTAAAGGACTACAGAATTTCAGAGCCCAAATGGGGACCTTAAAGTCCTTAGCATTTTATTATTTTTTATTTTTTTAGAAAGAACATTTTTAGTTTTTATTTTTTAAGATTTATTTATTTATTTGACACAGAGAGAGAGACAGCACAAGCGGAGGGGAGAGACAGAGGGAGAGGCAGACTACCCGCTGAACAGGGAGGGAGCCCGATGCGGGGCTCTATCCCAAGACCCTGGGATCATGACCTGAGCTGAAGGCAGATGCTTAACCAACTGAGCCACCCAGGCGCCCCAGTCCTTAGCATTTTAGAGCTAGATTACACAGACCAATGAAATTTAAAGTTTTAAGATGCCTTCTTTTTAAGATTCTTTTTTTCCAAATTTAAAAACTGTGGTAAAATATAGATAAAATTTACCATCTTAACCATTTTTATAGTTTGTTGGTATTACAAACCTTCATAATGCACAACCATCACCACCATCCATCTCCATAACTCTTTTCCTCCTGTAAAACTGAAACCCTATACCCATTAAACAATAATTCTCTATTCTCCCCTCCCCCACCCTGTCAACTACCATTTCTACTTCTGTCTCTATGATTTTGACTACTCTAATAACTGTATGATTGTCTTTTTGTGACTGGCTTATTTCATTTAACATAATGTCCTCAAGGTTCATCCATGTTGTAGTATGTACCAGAAGTTCCTTCTTTTTTAAGGCTGTATAATATTCCATTGTATATATAGACCACATTTTGCTTACTCATTCATCCTTCAATGAATACATGGATTGTTTCCACATTTTAGCTATTATGAATAATGCTGCTATGAACATGGATGTACAAATATCTTTTCCAGATCCTGCTTTTAATTCACATGATCCAGAAATGTAATTTTTGGATCATATGAAAATTCTATTTTTAATTTTTAAGGGAATTGCCATACTGTATTCTAAGCAGCTGTACCAATTTACATTCCCAACAATAATGTACAAGGGTTCCAATTTTCTAGATCCTCACCAACACTTGTTATTTTTGTTTTGTTTTGTTTGATAGTAGCCAGCCTAACAGTTGAGGTAGAGCCCCACTGAAGTTTAGATTTGCATTTCCTTAATAATTAGTGATGTTGAGCATCTTTTCATGTGCTTATTGGTCATTTGTGTATCTTCTTTGGAGAAATGTCTATTCAAGTCCTTTGCCCATTTTGAATTGGCTTGGGTTTTTTTTGTTGAGTTTTAGAAATTTAAAAAATCTATTCTGGATATTAATCCTTTATCAGATATACAATTTGTAAATATTTTCTTCCATTCTGTGGGTTGCCTTTTTACACTGCAGATACCACCTTTTGATGCACAAAATTTTAAATCTTCATGAAGTCCAATTTTTGTATTTTTTCTTTTGTTGCTTGTGTCTATGGTGTCACATCCAAGAAATCAATGCCAAATCTAATATCACGAAGGATTTTTGTCCTGTTTTCTCCTGAGAGTTTTATAGTTTCAGATCTCATATATAGGTCTTCAAGCCATTTTGAGTTAATTTGTTTTATAAGGGGGTCCAACTTCATTCTTTTGCATGTGGATATCCAGTTTTCCCAGCATCATTCGTTGAAATGACTGTCCTTTCCCCAGCGGTGCTCTTGGCACCACTGTCAAAAATCATTTGACCATATATGTGATGTTTTATTTCTGGGCTCTCTATTCACTTCCATTGGTCTATATGTCTGTCTTTATGACGCTCTCTATTCACTTCCATTGGTCTATATGTCTGTCTTTATGACAGTACCACACTGTTTGATTACTGTAGTTTTGTATTAAGTTTTGAAATCAGTATTGTGAGTCCTCCAGGTCTGTTCTCTTTTAAGATTTTGGCTACTTGGGGTCCCTTGAGATTTCGTATAAATTCTAGGATAGGTTTTTCTATTTTTGTAAAAAACATCATTGAGATTTTGATAGGGACTGCATTGAATCTAGAGACTGCTTTGGGTAGTACTGGTATCTTAAAAATATTAGTCTTCCAACTATATGAAAATGGGATGTGTTTCCATTTATTAACGTCTAATTTCTTTCAGCAATGTTTTGCAGTTTTCATTGTATAAGTCTTTTGCCTCCTTGGTCGAACAAATTCCTTATTATTTTATTCTTTTTGATGCTACTGTAAATGGAATGGCTCTCAATTTTATTTTTAGGTTATTCATTGCTATTAGCAGAAATAATGATTGATTTTTGTATCCTGATCTTCTATCATGCAACCTTGCGGAAATCATTTATTAATTCTAATAGTCCGGGTGGTTTGGTTTTGTTTTTGGAGTGGAACATTGAGGGTTTTCTATATATATAATCATGTCATCTATGAATAGAGATAGTTTAACTTCGTCCTTTCCAATTTGGATGCCTTTTATTTATTTTTCTTTCCTAGCTGCTCTGGCTCGAACTTCTAATATAGTGTTGCCTTGTTCCTGATCTTAAGGGGAAGCCTTTCCATTTTTCACCATTGAGTATGGTGTTAATTTGGGGTTTTTCATAAATGCTCTTTATCAAATTGAGGACGTTCCCTTCTACTCCTAGTTTGTTGATTTTGCCAAATGCTTTTTTTGCATCTACTGAGGTATGTGTGTCTTTTTCTTTTTTTTAAGATTCTATTTTTAAGCAATCTTTACACCCAATGTGGGGCTTGAACTCACAACCCTGAAATCAAGAATCGCATGCTCTACTGACTGAGCCAGCCAGGTTCCCCAGAGAGATGTGTGTCTTTTATTCTATTAATATGGTATATTACGTTGATCGAGTTTTATATATTGAACCAACATTGCATTCCTGGGATAAATCCCAGTTGGTTGTGGAACAGAAACCTTTCTAAATGTTGCCAGATTTGGTTTGCCAGGATTTTGTTGAGAATTATTAATACGGGATATTGCTCTGTAGTATTCCTTTCTTGTGATGTCTTTGGTAATATTGGCTTCACAGAATGAGTTAGGAAGCACTCCTTTTTCTTCTACTTTTGTAAGAATTTGTGAAGGATTAATGTCTTAAATTCAGGCTGCTACAACAGAATACCAGAGACTGGGTGGCTTAAGTGATGAACATTTATTTCTCACAGCTCTGGAGGCTGGAACAACTAAGATCAAGGCTACGGTAGCAATATCTGGTGTCTGGTGAGAGTGCTCTTCCTGGTTTGTCTACGGCTGTCTTCTCCCTGTATCCTTAACATGGCAGAGAGAGGGACAACTCTCTTCTTCTTTTAAGGATATTAATCCCATTTTGGGGGGCTCCAACCAAATGATGTTATTGCTTCCCAAGGGCCCTACTTCCAAACACCATCACGTTAGGGCTACATATGAGATAGATAGGACACAAACATGAAGTCCATCACAATTAGTGTTAATCCTTTTTTAAACATTTGATAGAACTCACCATCTGGTCCTGGGTTTTTCTTTCTGGGAAGCTTTTTGATTATCAACTCAAACTATTTACTTGTTACAGCTCTATTAAGGTTTTCTATTCTAGAGTCAGTTTTGTAGTTTATGTCTTTGTAGGAATTTGCCTATCTCTTCTGGGTTATTGAATTTGTTGGCATGTAATTATTTATTGTACTCCCTTATAATTCTTTTTATTTCTGGAAGGGCAGTAGGAATATCCCCTCTTTCATTCCTGATTTCATTAATTTGAGTCTCCTCTCTTTTTCTCCTAGTCTAACTAAAGATCAACTTTATTGATCTTTTCAAAGAACCAACTTTGATTCTGATGAGTTTCTCCTTTAAAAATAGTTTTTCCCGATTTTTTCTTTATTTCATTATTTCTGCTGTAATATTTATTATTTCCTTTCTTCTGCTTGCTTTGGGTTCAGTTTGCTCTTCTTTTTCTGTTTCATAGGTTATGTAGGTATTTACATATAAGTTCCTACATGATTAATTTTCCAGTTGAACATTAGAATCATTTGTCAAGTTTCTTATTTCTAACAGTTTCCAGTGTTTCATAACTATTATAGTTTTTTTTAAAGATTTTATTTATTGGGGCACCTGGGTGGCTCAGTTGTTAAGTGTCTGCCTTCGGCTCAGGTCATGATCCCAGGGTCCTGGGATCGAGCCCCGCATCGGGCTCTCTG